CCAAGGAATTCGAATGTCAGAAGTATTTAGCGCTATTGGAAAGTGAAAGAAATTACGATGCAAAAATGAGTTTGTCCGCAATACTGAATCGGGACTTTGATTGGTGGGAGTCACGCATCTCCGATGCTTTCAACCCAATCAGACAACAGGAATATGCACTAGAAATATTCTCAGATACGTCATTAACTGGCTGGGGCGCTGCGTGCAATGGCGAAACTACGTATGGAGCTTGGGATGAGTTAGAGCGAAAAAAGCATATTAACTACTTAGAGCTGGTAGCGGCCTTCTACGCGTTACAATGCTTTGCAGCGAGAAGATACGATTGCGAAATATTACTAAGAATTGATAATACTACAGCGGTAGCGTACATCAATCAAATGGGAGGGATCCAGTATCCACACCTCAACGGTATAACCAGAAAAATCTGGCAATGGTGCAAACAACGCAGCCTATGGATCACAGCATCATACATATCATCGCAAGAGAATGCTGAGGCTGATCAAGGATCCAGAATTATTAATGTCGATACGGAGTGGGAGTTGGCGCATTGGGCCTTCCAAGCCGTAATACGTAGATTTGGTGTACCAAAAATCGATTTGTTCGCAACAAGAAACAACAAAAAATGCGAAAAATTTTGTTCATGGCATCGGGATCCCGAGGCTGTCTGTGTGGATGCCTTCACGATCAAATGGACGAAGCTTAAATTCTATGCATTTCCCCCGTTCGCGTTAATACTAAGAATATTAAGAAAGATACAGATAGACCAAGCTCAGGGTGTCTTAATCGTACCTTACTGGAAGTCACAGCCCTGGTTTCCCTTATGGAAATCAATGTTAGTATCACAGCCGTTATATTTTGAGCCTAATCAACATTTATTACTATCTGCTTGTAGGAAAATCCACCATCCGTTAGCGGGAAAAATGACGTTAGTGGCCGGGATATTGTCCGGCAAAACTTCCGAAGGCTAGAAGATTGGGCTAAGTTTAGCGTAGTAAGAAATTTTGATATGTTTGCTCCACAAATCAGTCAAATAGTTGAGTGGCTGACCGTAATATACAAGGCGGGCGCGTCTTATGGAACTTTGAACACAGGGAGGTCGGCATTGTCGTGGATCTGCGGCGATAGAGTAGGGAAAATTCCCATAATTTCGAGATTTTTGAAAAGCGTGTTTAATAAAAAGCCAACGAAGGCTAAATATGAAAGAATTTACGATCTAGAGCCCGTACTGAAGGAGTTAGAGAAACTGTATCCGTTAGAAGACTTTAGTTTGCAGGATCTTACAGATAAGTTAGTTGTTCTTCTGGCAATAGTGACAGCACACAGAAAGCAGACTTTATCGCTTATAAAAATCAGTAATATTCGAGAAATAAGCAATGGATACGAAATAGAGATTCCAGACAGAATAAAGACAACGCGGCCAGGGTCCTGTCAACCATCGCTGACTTTACCGACATTCAGAGGGAATCCAAAACTTTGCGTAGCCACTACTCTCAAGAGATATTTAGCCGTTACTAAAAATCTCAGAGAATCGATCGATTCGTTGTTCATCACGACCAGGAAGCCGTTCAAAGCAGCGGCAAAAGATACAATTAGTAGATGGATTCGTGCCTTTTTGGGTAAATGCGGCATCGGCGAGTCTTATGGCCCGCACAGTATTCGACACGCGGCCACGTCTGCTGCTTTCAAAAAAGTGGTCAATATAGCAGTCATAAAGAGACTAGCAGGATGGTCGGAAAAGTCAACAGTATTTGATAGATTTTACAATCGTCCTATTGTCAAAGAGAACAGTACTTTCGCAGAAGCAATACTAGCTTAAATGAGCAGATATTTAAATAAGCGGTTGTATGCGTGCGCTAATTATACTAATAAAATAGTGTGCTTACACAAAGCGCATTCATATGTTGTATAGAACCTAGACCAGACTCTAAACATCTACCTAGTGATTTTTAGTAATCTCGAGAACAAGACACGATGCAAATTGACCGATCGAATGAGCCCGCCGAAGGCGGGCGAAGTTCGGTCGTAATTCTGCAGAGGGTCTCGTTCGAGAAGATCACTACCCTCCCTTTCTATATATATACCATTTAGGAAAATTCATTGTTCCCACCCGAAGATTCATAACAAGACTTTAAACTATATGACAAGAAAATGGCGGACAGAGAATCTCCAAAGGAGGGACTCTCGTCGCTCGCTTCTTATTGGCTGAACATTGTGGTGACTCCTACGCGCTGGAAGCGGTACTACCTAGTGATTTTTAGTGATCTTCTCGAACGAGACCCTCTGCATAATTACGACCGAACTTCGCCCGCCTTCGGCGGGCTCGTTCGATCGGTCAATTTGCGTCCGTAAATATCCTTCTGTGCGTCTCATTTTTTCATAACCGTAAGAATCAAACAAATATTTATGTCGATTTTCTTAATCCTTTGTCATAACAGATTAATTATTATTGCTCTCTTTTTTTATACTCTCTGCAATATACAAAGTGTTCCAGGTTTTTCCAAACTAGCAGTATGTTCTATGAGCAGAAATAAGAAAAAATGTTATATAAATATAGGTCCCAAAATGCTATATTTGTTTATAGCATAAATACAAACTGTCTAAGAAACAATTTTACATGAACATTATTGCTCTCTTTTCTCTATACCCTTTGCAATATACAGAATGTCCCAAATTTTTCCATACTAGCAGTATGTTCTATGAGCAGAAATAAAAAAAAATGTTATTTAAATATAGGTCCCAAAATGCTTTATTAGTTTATAGCAAAAATACGAAATGTAT